CGTATACTATTTGCTCGTAGACTTCAAATTAATTAAACATCACTTCAATCTATTTCTCGTTGTGAGTATATATTTATATTACTACAGCATATATTAGTTATAGTATACACTACAGTAGATATCAGCTGTAGTCTACACTTATTAACAAATAATTAAATAAATTTATATATTATGTTTAAAAATTATATATCAAGTTAATAGTAATTAAATATACCAATCTAATTGATATTACTTACAATGTAATTAAAACTGTATAGGTCCATTGGTTTGCCATGTCATCAGTATGCTATAAGTAAGTTAGAAAATTTTACAAATTAAATTACCATAACAATTTATACCACTATAATTAATATTGCTTATTTCACCAAAAAAACAACCAAGTCCATTTATATACTGTTGGCTAAACGAGTCGTTCCGTAAGGGGTCCACAAAATTCTTGCTGATATTATTCAAGTGCAGCACCAAAGCCAAGGCCAGTGGCGGTGGCGGTAATGTTGGGGGCAGTAATGGCGGCACCGGTGCCGGTGGTAACGGCCAGACGGGCGCACACGAGCCGCTCACTAGTCCGGTGACCGGCCACGAGATCATCGGCGACGACAAACTTCAGACTACAGTTACCACACATTTGTCGCCAAAACATAGCGAAGCGAATAATTGTCAAATCGCGTCCGTATGAAACACCCTGTATTGAAACGCCCTGTATATACAGCCTGTGAGTGCCGCTTGTATTTAGTATATCCTATAAACCCCTTACCCTCATACTCTCATACCAGGGTTAGTTTGTCGCTAACTATGTTTACATATGATATATAATTTATATACATGTTTACATACAGTACAATATCGTTATAAAATGTTTTGAAAAATTTGTTGCTATTACAATTGGTTGTATGATAATTGGTATGGTTAGACAAATTAGTATAAATTTATATATTCATATATTGTTATACCAAGATTAACTAAATATGTTAATTATGTTTATCCATATAAAGCGTATACAGTATTGTATATAATAATAATTTATATAAATACAAGACTTGTTATAACATTGTTTATGTGCCTAAAAATCGCCGATAAATATATGGAAATTGATTACAAGTTGAGAGAGAGAGAGAGAAACTGTCTGGAAAATAGTAAATGAACATAGTTTATTACCAAACATGATCAATATGGTAATTAATTATATCTTGAGTACAACAAGAGAGAGAGAGAGAGAGATAATGGATGAAGTCTAAGAGCTAACACAAAAATAAAAGTAAAACAAAATAAAATTTAACCGAAAAATAAAACCCTAAAAAAGTAAAACCAAAACACATTTTTCTCATTTTATTCCCCATATATTAACTTATTGTGAATTTTAAAACACAGAATATTCTGTTTGTGTTTTAGTTTTTATTGTTGTTTTCAAAATATATTGTTTTTCAATGTGTTTTGGGACACGATTTCTATGGTATTATAGTTGTAGAGTAACAGCAAAATCAACATGCTGTGAAATATTAACGTTACGTAACTGAACATTAATATTATACCACAGCAACAACAATATGATGGTAACAACGGTTAACTTACAAACACCAGATATTACTTAACCCGTTGTGATTAGTGTTAAGTAATAACTTAACAACAAAAACAATAATTAATTAATTGTTTCATTTATTCTCTAACTCTTGTTTTAGTTTCACTTTTATTTTTGTGTTAGCTCTTAGACTTCATCCATTATCTCTCTCTCTCTCTCTCTCTCTCTCTCTCTCTCTCTCTCTCTCTCTCTC